AAGAGCAGCAGGAGAGTTTTTCTTAACCTTAAGATATTTTTTAATTTGCAGACCCTTTACTTTGTGCTTGAGCATGATGTTTTCCCAGTGTGCTGAGTATTCATGTGTCAGTCTGTTTAGTGTTTAAGAGAGGACAACATGGAATTTCAATGTTTATTGGCTCGGAGGCTGATCTGCAGCTGGAGATGGTGGAAATCTCTATCAGTCGTGCATGGGAGGTAGAATGAAGTGCTCAGCCTCACGACGCAGCACGACTGAGGCCGACTGTCAGAAGCAGAAGTGATTCAAATGCCAGATGGTTTGGAGACGGCCTCTGCCAGGAGCACGTTGACTTTCAGTCGATAAATGTTGGTGTACTCAGTGAGCTTTAATGCTTTCTCAGCTGATGGGAATAGACACACAAATGTCTCCTCTCCCGTGTACAGGAACGGAGCTCAAGAACAGAGTTTGCCTGGGCTCATATCATAATATCTACAATAACTGAAAGTAATGCAGCAATTCATCCACTCTGTTGACTTTAGCTTCATGTGTGTTATCTTAATGCTGACTTAGTTTGATAGGGTTTGGAGTGACGATCTGTTGATACTGCTGTTTCAGGTAATTATATTTCCATGTTCAGACTCCGTGCTGGTGTTTATAGATTATTTTGTCTAGAATCTTAACACCACACCCTTGAGTATATCGTCATACAGCTGCTGTCCTAACACACTTCCATTCGGTGAGATTGACAGGAGGCTTCACATTCCAACCTTAAGTTTACAGCAACAGTTTGCAAACAGACGTGCTGATGAGCATTCCTGGTGAAGTTCCTGTCCTTTTTAGTGTCACATCTTCACACTTTGGGCTGCACAGCCACAGATAGTTTATGAAATCTTAATGTCTACTTTGGTGCATATCAGTTTTGGACTTTATGTGTAATCTTGTTGACAAGCAAACAGACCCAGGTGACAACAACCTCTGCCGTGGAGAGAGAGATGATGCAGGCAACAAACAATAGTTATTATGTTCTCCACTGTGACCAAAACAATGAAACAATCAACTGAAAAGCAACAAAGCAAAATATACAAAACATCACTTTAAGTCCTGATTAATATGAAACTACAGTATATTTATTTATCCTGCCTCAAAGCTTTGTAATCAGTTCTTATTTATTGTCCAAATTGTTTTTTACCATTGGCAGTCCCAGTGTTTACAATGTCAAAGTAGTGCTGTCACATGTGTAGCCTAGTGGCCTAATCCCTGGCTCTATTTTTAGATTAGAGGATGATGTAATCCAACCAGCGAAAAGCAAAGGCGTGTGTGTGCGTGTGCGTGCATACATACTGGGGGGAGGCTGCATCTGTGAAGGCATGCATGCATGCATGTGCGTAATTCTTGTGTGAATTCTGAATGTGTGAGATCCTGCCGTTTATCCAGATGTCAGGAGATTTTGTGCGCCTGCCTGAGCCAAAGCTGTTTTGATTTTTTTCATTATCCACTTAAAACAGTGTGGTCGGGATTTCAGTGTTGTTGAACAAAACAGGATTTTGTGTGGCGATTTCATCATAATAACTCCCGTCTTTGTGTTCCCTCGTCACCACCCTCGTCCCTAACAGAAACACATGCCGCAGCCTCTCCCGTTGAGCGAGCATATGGGTCTCTGCAGGAGGCCAGTATTATTCAAATTATAGGCAGAGTTTATTGTTGTCATTAAGCGGGGTGAAGGGGGGTAGCGTGTCACAGGAGCCTGCCCGAGCTGAGCCATCCTTTGACAGCTCACACAAACACATACTGTGACACAGCATGTCAGTCAGCACTTTCAGCCCCCGTGTTGTTAGATGTTTCCTGCTAACGTCTCAGAAGTGTTTCATAAAGGTTGGAGGACCTGTCTCCTTATTTGCTTGGTCCTTGATGTGTCCCCATAACCTGCCTGTTTTTACAGTCACACAAAAATCCCACAGAGGAATTCACTGCTGAATCTGCTATGGATTAGGGGAGAAGCATAGAAAGAGGCTGGACTTGGTCCTTGCAAGAAAGATTTGATTTCCATATTGATCGAACTATTACCTGAGACCATCCTCCCAAGTTCCTGTTTTGTTCTGAGGCTAACAGCATTAATATTCTGGTTAAATAAGGGTCACAAGGTTTTGTGATGACCTACTTTTTTCTTCTCTGCCTCAAAAAATGGTCTAAATGCAGATGAACTGTGATCTTTTCACTTTATCTTCTGTCACTGACTTGAAGAGAAAGGTCGACGAGGCAAGTCAAGAATGTTTGCTGTTAAGATGCCCTTGGCATTTTATCAGCTGATGCTGAGTGGCTCCTGATTGCAAAAAAGAAAAATTGAGAAATGTCAGACGATATAAAAGCAGGAAAATAAAATACATCTACAGTTGTTGGTAATTGGTTTATTATTTAAATCACATCTCTTGAAAAAAAAGCCAAATATTCTGTAGTTCCGGCTTCATGCTTTATCATCCAGATGTTTTTCTGGTCTTAGTCTATCTTAGTAAACAAAATAGCTTGAATAGCAATGTGGAAAGTGTAACTGCCAACGTGAGTGCACATCAATCAATCCCAGCATCTCCAGTGCTTGTGGAGATGAACAGGCACAGGCTTCTAAGAACTTATATGACAGACATCAATGTATTTGTCAGTCTTAATTTTGACCACTTTGCCATTATTATTGACAACTGAATTAAGAAGGATCGATTGAGTCATTTGTGCTGAATACTGCTTGATTCTTACTGACACTCAGTCAATGAGAGCATCCCTTATTTGTTTGTCAATGCTGTGTGGTGTCTACTGTCTTTCCATAAATGCTACGACTACATTATACAGCCACAAACGATTAACTGAGCATTGTTGGCGCTCACTCACAACCACAGACTTTACAGAACAGCTGCAGGTGCAGATGAACCTTACAGCTTGTGCCTTTACATTTTCAAGGTCTAACCATGTACGTTCACAGAGGAAATGAAGTAGTCGGTTATCTAAACGCTTGTGTTGGAGCTAGGCTCTTTCCGTCTGTGCTGGCACGGCAGCCCTCAGACTGACTGAGGCAGAGCCAAACCCAGAGCCTGCTGTTTTCACTGCAGTAGGGAGTTGGCAGGCTGTGAAAAGGAGGCCGGCTGACCTCTGTACCTGCCTCTCTTTCATGATGTGTTACCACTGGGACGGGGACTACATTGGTGTTCTTGAACTAACTCTGCAGCATCCTGGAGAGTACAGTACAAAGCTCAAGCTTTTTACATGAGAGGGGCTGACAGTGTAAAGTGGTGAATCATTTTCTCACAAAATAGTCCAGAACATCTAAAACCCCTTTATTATTAAAGATTCTTTTTTTTAATCAATAATATAATTCAGATGTGTTATGGTCAATTATTAATTTGCAGGGGACCTATTGTGCTTTTCCCAATTTTCTGAGATAGTTATCGTTTCCAAAGTTTCAAATGATTAAGTAATGGTAATCCCTGTGACACTATTGTTCAGATATCAAAGTCCTCTGAATACTTGGTTCAGTTTTAAAAAAAAATATGTTACACAGTCATCATCTCGATCTCCCAAAACTACATGTTTAATGTTCTCCATTATACAAAAAATGAAATACAAGTTTACTGTATAGTTGTGGGATAACATTTTACAAGCAATTGATTTGTATTGTATATTGTTTTCCTGACAGCTGACAGTTTCCACTCAATTTCCCCTGTTTGATTTAATTTTAGTAAGTTGCAGTTACCAGTTGCTTCTTCTTACAGTTTTCTTTCAGATCCTCCACAATGATGAAGAGTAGTGGTGTTCATAAGCTCCTGGTGGGCGGCTGCTCTGCAGACTTCCAGAAGTTCAGCCAATCAAAAGAAATTCGACTTTTAAAGAGGCCTGAGCTAATGTTCCCTGTTTTAGTCTGAGGTTCGACTGCATATTAGGCAGTATGAGGAGAAATGAGCTTGTGAATGATCACATAAAGTTAGTGCTACAGTGGAGTCTCAGAATGAAAATGGAGAGTTGGAGATGTGTGGTAAAATGTTTTCATGTTTTAAATTTCTTAACTTATGCTTATAGTTTGTCTTCTCTTTCTACATGTTGAATGGTCGAGAGTTAATGTTTGCTGAGCCGCTGTGAATTTGGAGCAAGCAAGGCAAGTTTCTGCATAGTTGCCCCCAGAGAAAATGTGAAACAGAGCCAAGGCTTGGCTGAAAATCTTGTATTCACAAAACAGACCTGATCAAATACATTTTGCGCTTTGACACATTTCTCCTCATCCTCTCCTTGGTACTTGCACTGATGTTGAGTTGAGCAAATCTTTTAAAGTGTGTCTGTGCTTCTGAATAAAGGCAGAGCACATCACAACATTGCAGTCATGACGGCTGAGCTGCAGATGCCAAAAAACAAGAATGATCTCGATCCCCTGGGGGCTAAAAACACACAAAACAGCCACTCAGAGCAGGTAAAGCAGTGAAAGTCAACTTCTCTCGCTCAGTATTTACACAGGAAGCTTTAACAAACAAGGGGCCATTCATAGTTGAGAAAATTGCTGTTACTATTTCAGTGTTTTGGCAATTTTACATTGTCTGGAGTGATTCTGTGCCACACAGATATATGTACACACTAGAGACCTGTGTGTTTCCTGTTTGGCTTTGTGTGGATTCGGTGCCTTTCCTGTGTCCAGCAGCCTCTAGGCAGAAAGAGGTTGTTAGAGGTCATGTCACCACTGAAAAATGACAACCAGACCTTAAATGACCTAGTCATTATCCTCAATTACTGCTTTGATTGCATGTCTGACCAACCATTGTGCATATGGTCTCATTAGGAGGGTGCCAAAAGAGGCAAATGAGGCAGTCCCATCCTTATGTCTGTGAGGAGGTTCATACAGTCTTTAATTTAAGCTTATGTTGGATTGGACAGTGTTGATGTAATTCATGCATGCAGAAACACTCTTTAAAACCATAATATTCAGCAGTTTTGCAGCTGAATTTTGTTCTTCCATGATTCACTAAGTTTTCTCTATCTCCTTCTAACAGAATGAAGATGCCTGAGGTCTGAGTAAAAGCCCTCCACCAGAGAGCGTGTGTTCTGGGGCTGGACCCAGAGACCCCTGCCTCTGGGCTGAAGGGCCCTGCAGTGTATGCCTGGACCATGGGGGATGGAGGCGCTGGTGCAACAGGAGGAGATGGGGTGAACCAGTCCCATGTCCTGTTCGACAGGTTCGTCCAGGGGAGCACGTGCAAGGGCACGCTCAAGGCCTTCCAGGAGCTGTGTGACCACCTGGAGGTCAGGCCCACCGAGTACAGGGTCTTCTATCACAAGCTCAAGTCCAAACTCAACTACTGGAAGGCCAAGGCACTCTGGGCCAAGTTAGACAAGAGGGCCAGCCAAAAGGAGTATAAGAAGGGTCGTGCCTGTGCCAACTCAAAGGTAGGCCTGCATCCGCAGTAACTCTATGATCTGTTTGTTGCAGACTTCAGTTAAGTCAAAGCTAAATTTGATCCTCCGTGCCAAGGAATCATGTAAGATGAGAGGGTCATTGCTTTGTATTGGTCCAATACCTTCTCTGGTAACATTGCTAACCCAAAAAAAGTGATAAAGCTGTAAAAATGTCTGTTTTTATTATTGTAAATCTAAACTTATGACAACTGATAATTAAATGCTAGTGTTTTTAGTATTTCATTTTAAACTCAAAATAAAGCTCAATCACAACATATGTTTCTCTCTCTGTGTCTCCAGTGTCTGATCATCGGTGCGGGGCCATGTGGCCTCCGTACAGCCATCGAGTTGGCTTTCCTGGGGGCCAAAGTGGTGCTACTGGAGAAGAGAGATGCCTTCTCCAGGAACAATGTGCTGCACCTCTGGCCCTTTTCCATCCAGGACCTCAGGGGCCTTGGGGCCAAGAAGTTCCATGGGAAGTTCTGTGCTGGTGCTATCGATCATATCAGTGAGTCCACATGGCAATCTTCACACTCTTCTATGCTGCTTATTGGTTTTGGTGTCCTGCATGCATTTGGAAGATGTGTTTATTCATGTAATGCTCTCATCTTACAAGTTTTATTTTTCTCTGTCTTTGTGCTGCAGGTATTCGTCAACTTCAGCTAATGCTGCTCAAAGTGGCTCTCCTGCTGGGCATCGAGATCCATGTCAACGTAGAGTTCAGGGGTCTTATTGAACCCCCCGAAGATCAAGAGACTGAAAGTAAGTGAGTCAAGCTGCTGCCAGAGCAGCCAGAGAAAAATGAATGTAAAGTGAGCATGTGTTTTTGTGAGAGAATGATCTGTCAAAGGTTCTAAGTCTGGCTCTGTTCATGCATTTCTGTCTGATTACACACGCTGTGTTTTGTCAGGGATAGGCTGGAGGGCTGAGGTCCACCCTAAGACACACCCTGTCAGCGAGCTGGAGTTTGATGTCATCATTGGAGCAGACGGCAGGAGGAACACGTTACCAGGCAAGTCTGCATGTTCATGCTGGGAGAAATGCCAAAAAAACAACACAAACGACACTATTAGTTTGTTTCTTCATGTGCACTTGGAGGTCAGTCGTGACGATTATGATCTCACTTGTGTACAGCTGTGGTCGGGTGCCTGACCTCACTTCACTGCTCAGATATGAATGGGCGCTTGAGCACATCTGTGTGTGTTTGTTTGTGTCTGCCTGTGTTTGCTCTCCCAGCTGAGGAATAGGAATTGTTGAATTGGCCGTCTGTTTCCTCTGTGAGTGCTTGGGCATCATGCTCTTCACCCCATTAGCAAAGAGGGAATCCCTGTGGAAAACCGTGACCCCTCTCTGTACAACCACTGCTGTATTAAAGACAGACAGCAACAGGCAGCCTCTGGGATAACCATGAACTAAACTCACACAGCTTGAAAAACAGAAAACTTTAAAACGCCTGTCTGCCTTTATAAATGTTTTGCATTGGTTTGACTTGTAAAAGCAAATACACGTGAGTGTTTACTCTATCTTTCACTCACTTTTTATTTTTAGTTTCAAAATCTTTCCACCCTGATCCCTGACCCTTCACTTTCCTCCTTGTATACCCCAGGGTTTCGGCGTAAGGAATTCCGGGGCAAGCTTGCAATTGCCATCACAGCTAACTTCATCAACAGAAACACAACGGCTGAGGCAAAGGTCGAGGAGATCAGCGGTGTAGCCTTCATCTTCAACCAGAAGTTCTTTCAAGACCTCAGAGAAGCAACAGGTCTGCAACAGCTCCCAGCCTTGTTTTATTGTCTTCATGGTTTTTCATACAAGGCCTTACGATTAGGGTTAGAAACCAAAGCTCTGTTCCTAATTAGAAAGTAATTCCAAATACCAGGTACTAGTGAAAAAGATATATATACGTTAAGGAAATCATAATTCTGGAATCTAAGGAATTTAAGCTAAATGTTACTTGAAAAAAAATTACATTTGAATGTTGACATGGTAATTAACCTCTAAGAAGCAGTGGCCATTCGTAATTTCTCTGAGTCTTTGATGCAGCAATTGTGTCTTTTCTTCCTAAAAAAAAAAAATCCATATTGGAATTGATAATCTGTATCACCAAAAACCAGAATCAGAATAATTAAAATTCAAAAGATGTCCAACCCTACATAACAATTGTTGGATTATTTGTTGATAGGAGTAATTGTAAGAACTCCAGCTACATTTAAGATGTAATGGATACCCAAAAAAAAGGGAAATAGGACAAACGATCAGTCTTTTTGTACACAGTTCTGAATTTGTCAGCACACCCAATTAAAATGCTCAACACCAGATTCGATGCCAAGGCCGTTCGGTTTATTGCTGACATGACGATGTCCCTGGGGGCTTTGGTTATGTGCTCTGAGTCGCGTAATTGCCGCCCTTGTTCCCCAAATGCGACATGACAGTCAGCTGTGGCAATAAGGAGCAGGATTGTGCTTGGTATTTAACAATACGTGTCTCCATCGGTCTGTTTTAGGAATTGACCTGGAAAACATTGTCTACTACAAGGATGACACGCACTACTTTGTGATGACTGCCAAAAAACAGAGCCTGCTGGAGAAAGGAGTCATTCTGCATGTGAGTGATCAAAGCCCAGAACTTTGTGTGTGTGTGTTTGTGTTTTAGAGACAATTGTTGAATCTCATTCTGTCTCTCTGTAGTAGATGTATAAAGGCTATACGCACGTACAGACTGATAATCAACAAGTCCGACTGTCTTTCTCTTTTATTTCGTTCTTTTTGATTCTCTTTGTGGGTTTGTGCTGTACGGTTAATGGTCTAACCAAGCCAAGTATCCAGTAAGACTCTGGTAACACAAGCAGACTAGTAGCAGTAGTTTCCACAGGAAACGAAAAAGACAGCATTTCTGCTCATAGTCAGGTTCATAATTTTAAGTTGCATTATTACTTTAAAAGATTTACATCCTCTAATATTCATAAAATGCATCACTTTCCTCAGCCTCTGTCTGAAACCCTTGGTTGCATATCCTGTCTCTTTAAGGCCCCCCTCCCAATGAAGCCCAGTCTACTGTCGTGATTGTCGCGATTGTTCAACAACTTCTGGTGCATTTAGGAAATGTCGTTCTTCACTCTTGCCTGGCTTTGTTAGGCGGTGTGTGAGGCTAACAGCTAGATGTGCGTCACAATGATGCAGAAGTATCAGGCTGGCTACTGAGGAGGCGTTTACATCCACAAAAACCTATATAACACACTATAGGAAAGTAAAACTGAAATAGCATCACATGTCTCCTTTAATGTTTGTTAAACAAGCGTATTTGTAAACCTATGTCACCGTCGTCACTTCTCTTCAGCTAAGTTTTGTCTGTATTACAGTTGTTCAACATATCTTGGTGTCCCTGTGCATGTGTGTGCAAGTCTGTGTTTGTTTTCATGGTGAGCTGATGGCATTAATGAGCTTTACGTGTACACTGAGCTCTGGAGCCAGAGGGGATTTGAAAGCAGCAGGCGCATGTTAATGAAAAGGCACAATTTACTGCAACCGGGCTTTGATAGGAAGTCATAGACAGATCCTTTTATAGCAGAGAAGATGACTCAGTGCTGCTGCTGCTTGGAAGTGGATAGAGAAAAAGTTAGAATAAGAGCCACACAGGTCCAATCAAACCAACTAAAACAACCTCCATTCATATCTTCCACTGCCCTGCCCTTCCTGTCAGCCACCATCACCACCAGCCTGGCCCAGTCTGGCCCAGTCTGGCCTGGCCTCAACCAGGGAGCTTGAAGATGGAAGAATGTGCCTCTCACCACCCTCTATGAAAACATGTCACGATGAAAGCATGCAGTGATTTGATGCTACATGTTGGAGAGAGATGTGAACAGCTCAGTTCATTCCAGTTCCTCTGCCTCTTTGTATACAGTAAAGTAACAGATTCACTTTAAGATTATAATTTATTGAATCTTAAACAATAAAACCAGGGATTGATATCTATGCCTGTGTGAAATTTGGTGCAGCTTTATTTACTTGATTTAAGGAGACTATTGGGCCTTGTTGGAGGAATGCGCTCTACTGTGTCCCATTCTAGTTCACATTTTTTCTCCTCCACAGCTTTCCTTGTGGTTTGTGTACATTTGTGCATCTGTGCTATTTTCACAGATTCTCTCATGCCACAAGAATGTAGGACAGAAATAGTAACATCTGCACCTAAAAGACTAATCCCTCCCACGTCAGACTTCTCCTGTGTTCTCCTTGAATAATGTGATATCTGGTCCCAGTCATAGGTTTCTGAATTTTATATCATCTCAGTTGTATAGTTTGTGCATCCTCATCTGCATCCCCCAAATCACAGTTTTCCTGGGGGTTAAACTTTCAGTCTGCACTGGGTTTATTGTTATTTTGTCAGTCTATGAAAAAACTTTTCCCCATCATCAGTCGTCATCCTCTTTCTGCCACAGCTGCAAACATAATTCTTTCATATGCCGAGGGAGGCATTCCTAGAATTGCTGGTTTTTGTGATTTCTCTGCACATCTCTTAATTTCATTTTTTCTAATCTCATCTCTTTCTCTCGGTTCTCCTATAGGACTATGCAGACACGGAGATGCTGCTGTCCAGAGCAAACGTAGACCAGGCAGCGCTGCTGTCTTACGCCCGTGAAGCTGCGGATTTCTCCACCAGCCACCAGCTGCCCACACTGGACTTTGCCATCAACCACTACGGCCAGCCGGATGTAGCCATGTTCGACTTCACCTGCATGTACGCCTCTGAGAACGCTGCCATGGTGCGCCAGCGCAATGGCCACAAGCTGCTGGTGGCGCTGGTGGGAGACAGCCTGTTGGAGGTGAGACATACGACATAGACTATGTTTTACAATTGTATAATCCTCAAATTCAAGTTGTTTGAATCTTGTGTCATATTCAAGCACCCGTTTTGTTATTCCACATCCTTCATTCTCCTGTGGCCATATTTGGTGATAAAATTTTGGGTTCGCTGTCATCTCCAGCCCTTCTGGCCCATGGGCACTGGCATTGCTCGAGGTTTCTTGGCAGCCATGGACTCAGGCTGGATGGTGAAGAGCTGGGCTCAGGGAAAAACCCCTCTGGAGGTGCTGGCTGAGAGGTGAGGGTGTGCGTATACACCAAACACACTGCTTTGTTATTGTGCACACACATATGCACACACACGTTCCCTCTCTTTAAACACCCTTTTATCTCTAAGTGTTTTACTAGGAAATGTGCCTGTAGGTGATTTCAAGCGTCAGTCCCACCTCTCAGTACTAATTGGATAAGAGCCTCTCATAAGAACTGAATGGAATGTGACTCCTCTGTCCTGCAGTAACTCTGTGCTCTCTAATAACAACACTCGGATGATTTCTTTATGGATATTCATTATTCAGAGTATCCTCTTATATTTTCTTAAACTTAATGGAAGTGTGTTACAGTTTGTAAAAACTTTTTTTTTTCCTCTGTCCCCTAGGGAGAGTATATACCGTCTTCTGCCCCAGACCACTCCAGAAAACGTCAGCAAGAACTTCAATCAGTACAGTGTGGATCCGACCACACGTTACCCCAACATTAGCCTTAACTTCCTCAAGCCCAGCCAGGTGAGAAAATGTTTTCACACATTCCCACATACGAAGGACCGTCTGCTCATCTGGCGTCCTCTGACCTCCCAGAGTTTCACAATGAACCCAACGTAATTGTTATCTTCTCCGTCTAATGATACACAGACGACGGTGATGATGATGATGATGATGATGATACTACTGATACTTTTCTTAAATCTTTTTATCTTTCTTCACTGTTGCACACATTCAATCATTCAATCTCTCCTGACTCCGCTCACTCTCTTTCTCTGTCTCTCTCTCTCGCTCATGCCAACACACTGACACAAACATTGTTATCAGACAGCCTGTAAAATCAGACACAATTTGGTCTTGACAAACACAAATGACAGTTGTGGTATATACACATAAAACAGGGAAGTGAGATTGGATTACACATTTTAATGCCAGATGTGAACGGACGACCTTAATGCTGTCAACTCAGAATGGAAGTTAATACCAGGGCTGAACGGAGCTTGTTATTACTTGCGCTGCTGTATGAAATAAGAAATGTGAACATTTCTGCAGTTGGGTTTGATAAACAAGTGACACAAGTTTTGTCCATGTAAAGCACCATGTGACAGATTTTACACATGTGGTCTTTTTGCTTATGTTGCAGATGCGGCATCTCTTTGATACCGGGGAGTCGCAGGAAATGCGCATTGAAATAGAAAATGTTATCAACACGTCAACACCCAAGTTGGCCAGGAATGGTTTGTATCTCCTCATCATTTTATTAGTTTATTAAAAAAGACTACCTCCATGTGCTTATTGATCGGTGTAGGATTTTGCTGCAATCACTGTTGCTGAAATGTAATGATGAACTATTTTCACTCTAGAAAATTGCCTGCTTGACAAGCAGTTGCAAGGTAACAAAGTCCTAATGCATGGTGTGCTTCCTCAGGGATTCCTCCTAGTTTAAGCTGGTTTTTAAAGTTGACCTGCCCTGTATTCACGTTTGAATGATATGAAGGGCATCCTGGAATGATGGAACTAAAAATTCCTGTGTGTGTACTAACTCGATCATTGATAATCTCCCTGGTTATATTCAACACTTAATGTCCCTGCAGATGTGAAAGGTTTCTTGTGCATCCACTCCTAACCTCTCATTTGCATCCTTTTCTCCTTAACGACAGATTTTATTTTTACATGTCACGGTTCATAACACTTCCTCAATGGCTGGTTGAAACTTGCACTAACATGGATGATGAGTCCATGAATGGCAACACTTTATAATCCTGTGCTCAGTCTTGTCTGGCCAAGGCCATGAGATTGCACTGCAAGAGATGTGTAGTGTTTTCCAGAATCTGTTTAATGCAGATTCTGTTCAGCCTGACGCTCTGACAGACTTGTATTTTCTTTCCTTATTGTACCAGAATCCATAGCCCGATCGAGTAAATTACTCAACTGGTGCCAGAGACAGACGGATGGATACAGGAACGTTCATGTCACAGATCTTACAATGTCCTGGAAGAGCGGTCTGGCCCTGTGTGCCCTCATCCACCGCTACAGACCGGATCTCATGTGAGTATCTGAAAGACATGCACATCACATACTGCACGGAACGGAGGTTATTACAGATGGTAATTTGTGGACTTAAAGCAAACTCTGCCAAGTGTATCGCAGTGTGGTTAAGAGAGTGAATGGGTTAAAACTGCTGCGGTGGCTGGAACGACCGGCCTGCTGAGTTTATGTGAGTGTGTTGGTTGCAAATGATGTTTATTGTCTGGTTGGGACCTTGGGTTTGGACTGTACCATAAATCACAGTAAACGAGGTGGCAGCTACCAGTCATAAATGCCTCACACACACACATGCGCACACATGCACACTAAAAAACACAGTCTCCGTCCACATTGCCTAATGTAGTTTGCTTCCCTTGCGATCTACATTACAAGCTATTAGTCTCTGTGTCCTTCCTGACCTTTACCAAGCGCTGTAGCAGTCATGCTCTGCTTCATTTTGATTGGCCAGATGATGATGGGAGGGGGGAGTAGGGAAGGAGGCTGGTGGGAAGTGGAGTTACCTTGGGAAAACGTGTATGTGTGTGCAAGATGGATGCTGAGTGGAGGGTCCACTCTGTGCTGTGGCGTTCCAGTGCTAATGCCTGTAAATGGACTGAATGTGCAGTTGACTTGTATTGATGAGGCATGTTAATTGTGTTTTCAGCTGCAGCGTAATGACATTTACAGTAAAGCTTTCCATAACATGTACAGTTGCCTGCTGTGCAGAAGTGCTTCTCTGTTGTGTCCAAAACTGTTGGACAGCAGCGTCTGGAAAATATAGATTTGTTCACGGTTTTTCCTCTAATAGTTGAGACAGTTAGTTTGATATGTATTTCATTGACTTTGTGTGCAAGATAATCCTGAGCGAGCAACTTCATCATCAGAGGAAGATATTATTAGCAAAGTGTGTAACATTATTCCTACTGATAGATAAGATAGAGCCCATCTCATATGGATTTTTGGAGGCAGATGATATCGATTTTGGCGAGCAAAACATTTCAGATAATAATTTATCGGGTGATAAACATATTTAAAATTTTCTTTAATGATTCCAAAGATGTTAACAAATACTTATGACAAATAAATATTATTGAGGCTTGATACTTTACAGTTTAACCATGAATTTATTATAGATAACTTTAGATAAAAATAAAACACAAGTTTTCATATCAGCTAACATTAATGCAGATAGAGCATTAATCCGATTAAAAAGGCCCATATCAGCATTTTTAATCGGACTATCAATAAGTCATCCGCGCTAAAAATCAAGCCAAGATCATGTTCCACAATCACAGCTCTAAATTGGACTTCTGTGAGTTAAAACTCACTTGATATTATAATATTAATGCACATGTATACAATATATGTGTAACATAGTCATCGGGCTCAGATAAAATATAACCACCTTTAAATCCCCGTACACAAAAATGTTTCTGATTTGTTGGGGGCAAAAAATCTGTTGAATTCAAATGAATGTGTTGTGTGTTTGAGTATTTGTTTTACATGTAGAACCAACATAGATTATGATCACTGATATGAACTGTAGTGTTTTATCTTTTACATTTCATGTAGCGCTCTTATCACATCCTGTCTCATTCTGACATTGACTTTTGATCTTTCTCTCTCCGTCTCCTGCCCTCAGTGACTTTGACTCGCTGGACGAGCGAGACCAGCAAAAGAACAACCAGTTGGGCTTCGACGTGGCAGAGAAGGAATTTGGCATTTCGCCCTGCATGACTGGCAAGGAGATGTCCTCTGTGGTGGAGCCAGACAAGCTCTCCATGGTCATGTACCTCAGCCAGTTCTATGAGATGTTCAAGGACACAGTGCCACCCGGAGGTGAGAGTGGGTGATACAGTAGAACAGTTTGTTCTGTCATCTTTGTGGGGAGGTGTCTTTAATTACACAAGTGTCTTGTGACAGATGCTGTGAAAACATAATTACTTCGAATCCTTTAAAAATTCAAAAATATATTTACTTGCTTATAAGCTAAAATTTTCTTTGTGGATTTATGTTCAGATAAACACAACCTGAGCCCTGAGGAGAAGGCAGCCCTGATATCCAGCACCAAGTCTCCAATCTCGTTCCTGAGCAAACTCGGTCAGAGCATAGCGATATCCAGGAAACGAAATCCAAAGGTCAGAGTCTGGAAAATTCCCCTTGATTTCTTGAAACATCAAAAATATTCACTGCTTTGCCTGAAGTCAAAATAACTTGTGGTGTCACCAACAGGACAAAAAAGAGAAGGATGTAGACGGTTTGGGGAAGAGGAGGAAAACGAGTCAGTCTGAAGATGTGAGTAGTGTCTTAGTTTGTCAAACCGACCAGAACAGACTAATTAATCCCACTAGACTGTCAACAGCAGGAAAATAACTAACATTTTTCCCTTTTCTCCTCAGGAGGAATTATCCAGGACCAGTCGTGATGACAGGCAATCTGTCCCCGCTCTGTGTGAGAGAAAAATGGACTCTGCTGCCGTAGGGAACCACAACAAAGTCAAGGTCATGGCCACCCAGCTGCTCGCCAAGTTTGAGGAGAACGCCCCAGCCCAGTCTAGCGGACTCAAACGACAGGTATGGACGAAATCACTTTGTTCATGTGGTTGAGAAAAGAGGGGTTTTTTATACCACAAGGAGAAGATTCAGATTTCTCTCATTGTGGTTTGTTATTCCTCACAATGAATTTTGATGGGCATGCAGATTTCATGTTGTGTGAGAGGGCCTCTAGTCTCTCGGGGGACGAGATGTAGGCCTTGTGCATTAATGAGCTCAGATGCAGAATGCTAATATTGGTCAGGCTGGGTATTGTTCCGAGGTCATGTGGGCGGCCTCCTGGTGCTGACTGGGCTTTGAGGGCTCCGCCAAGTGCTTGCTTTCTCTCCACTGAGGACGGACAGAGCAGTGGGAGGGAGACGTGGGCCGCGGGAACACTAGGTCGTATTGTGGATTGAGAGAACGAGTTTGAGAAGTTCCAGTCTGAGAAAACATCTTGTTAGCGAATGAATTAAGATAGCTGCTTCTAAATTGGTGTTATTTTTTTAATATATAAGATAATGTTAAAAGATTTGTGTTTATTTATTTTGCCATCAGATTTCTATGAAATCATATGATTATATTAGTCCAAAATTTAATAGTGAGTAATCTAAGGGTTTGTGGGGATTAAAGGATTTAAAAACTATTAGTGAAGCAGTTGCTTGTCAGAAGATATATGTGTATTTTTATGTTTATTTTTGTAATATCTCTGAAGTCCGGTTATGAATGTTTCACAACTTCTCCCAGCATGATTTCCTTATGACTCTCATTTCCTTATTGCTTTTGAACGCTCATTTTCCAACCACTGTGACCACTGTGTGCCTGATTCACTTCCCTTTTCTCTCTCCTCGCCTACATCTCCCATCATGGACCGTTTTCATGATGCCTTGCATGGTTTTTCTGGCCCTCTCATTGGCCACACTCGCTGTCACCCATCTTTACCCGGCCACAAAGGGGGACTCGCTGCCCAATCTGGACTGCCTTTTGCCCCCTTCCCCACCCCGACCCTCTGTGAGAGAGCCAGTGCGCCTGGCACCAGTTCCAGCGTGGAGGAAGGTAAAGAGTGGAACTTCCCCGACCCGTATCCCCCCCTTTAGAGACTAACCGCTAGACTGACCATCAACCCGTACGTCCCTGTGGTGTGTCATAGCGAGGGGAAAGCTGTTTTGCGTTGACTGGTGCGGTAGACACTGCAGATCTCTAGTGTCAGATTTTATGGAATTAACCCAAATGTGCAGGTGTTTGGAGACGTGTTGCGTTGCTAACCAAACTCTATGTGTATACGTGTGTTTGTGTGTGTAACTTATCAATCAAGTAGCTGTGCAGTTGTGTCTAATTAAGAGAGACAGATGTAAGAATGAACCACCGTCATGGTCTCTCTCTCCTCCCTGCCTCTCCCGTCCTGGTTCAGAGACGCACACAGCAGCAGGAGCAGCTGAGCATTCGCTACAAAGAAATGATCAAGTGTCAGACGCTGCCCGGAAAAGGGGAGCAGGTATGCTGGCCTGGTAGTTCAACTCCTCGCACATCCCCAGTAAATCTAGGTTTACCCTCCTGCAGACGTGCATGGATTGGCGTTCCAATCCAGAAGAAAGGTGAAGGGAAGGTAGCATCACCGAGTTGGGCAACATCTTGTGACTTTGAAGATATTAAGTAGATCAAACAGTGAAATACAGGGAGTGCTCAGATTGTTTCATCACTGTTTCATCATACGCTGTGCAGCCAGTTTATTGTCTGCAGTATTTGGAGAGTTAAAGGTTCCCCTTCTTTCTAAACAAACAAAGCTCTGTTTACATTTAGCCTTTCTTACCAGAATGCATTGTGTGCAATAATAAGGCCTAACAAGACTGTTCAATGTATTCTCTTGTGATACCGTTATTCAAAAACTCTACATTAATATTTCTACTCTTTAGAACAATTTAAAATATTTTGTTTGTTTTTTCAAGAATGAAAAATAACAGACAGAAACAGAACGGTTGTCCTCTTGTATGATGTCTACCTTCCCCCTCTTTCTTGTTGCATTTGTCCCCCACCTTTTTAATGAGGTGGCCTCATGTGAAGATTCCCTGCAGCCCTCCTGTAGATACAGTTGATCTTGCTATTCTTCTCATAGGTGCACATACATGTTGATTATAAAGAGAAAAGACCAGTGCTACACTTCTCTTGTGCAGCCTCGGTAAAGATCAACTTCTGCATCTAGTTTTTAGAATTGAGTTTCTAAAGCCACTGTTGATAT